TTTATTATATATATATATATATATATATATTTAAAGTGTGCTTTTCGCTTTTAACCCGTTTTAGTAGTGTTACGTGTTTGGAGTCATTCCAGCGTTAATCACAGAAAGCGGAAACACTTGCTCAATCGTAAAATGGACATGCGCAGTGACCTCTCTTTTGGATGAATCATTCACTGTCTGTTGAAGTTAGTGATAGTAAACGTTTAACTTGGCCGAGTTCTCTGCGTTAAACCATTTTTATGCTTTCGCCTTGGACAAGAGTTATCGGTCTAGTTCTTTAACAATATATGTATATACTAGCTGGAGCATCCGTCACCTGGACGGAAGTTATGTAAATTCATGATTAATGAAAGGTTGTTTTAGGACATGAAAAGTTGCTTCTCTTATATGTAATTGTGAAAAACGCCAATAAAACCGCAAAAACCAAAATGCAAAACTGAAAATTTGTGTGTGTCTCCCCATGGATCCAATGAACCTCCATACCAAATTTAGTGAAGGTCCATCTACATGATAGCGAAGTAGTGGTAATATATATATATATACACACACACACACACACACACACGACAAAAACGCCCAATAAAAAACGCAAAACTGAAAATCTGTATGAACCACCATACCAATTTTGATGGAGATCCATCCACACCCTGCGAAGTAGTTAACATGGGCAGACAACAGACAGTACTAATATATTTATATAGATACACACGCAAAAACCTTGGTCAGAACTGAAAAGTTTTTACACTGTACTCATTTTTAAAATTTGGAAAGATGGATACAAAATTATTTGGCCACAATTTTAGTAACTGTGATCATTATATTGAATATCAGTATTTAGTAAATTAGTACTACCTCAGAAAATTTAAAATATTTTGATAAGAAACGGTTAAATAGTTATTGTTTACTCTACCGGAATTAAGATGTATTACCTTTGTTATCTCGTACGAAAGTTCAAGTTTATTATGTAGAAATGAAAGAATCGTGTGTCCGTAGGTGAAGTTTTATTGATATACACGATTGTTAAACACGATAGTTGTTAGGAGGAAGAAATATTTCTTAATTTTAATCGATTTGTGGTCCCATTTTCATGGTTACCTAATAGATCTGTTATTTTTCCCGCAGGCAAACCTGTCACTTCAAGATGTACTTTCAAAGTTTTGTGACTTCTGTCCGTCCGTGTGATTCTCGGACAGCCACTTCAGTGGATGTACCCATGACAACCACTGGACGGGAACGAAACATCCCCCTCGACCTCTCTGTAAAGCAACCGTCTCGCTCCATGAAGCTAGCTGCGCTATGCACGTCGGGACTGAGTCGAACCAAAACTTTATCATCTGTCACTGACCCGTCTTCTATTCACTTAAACTTCCGGCCTAACGGAGAAGAATACACAGGTAACAGCGCAGTTAACGTAATGTCCACATCTACGTTATTGTGTTCTAGAAAAAGTCCTCTACCCTCAGACTTGGGTAGACGTCCCTCAAGTGGGAAAGTCAGTTTTTTAGAAAATGGCGAGCCACGTTCAGCAGCAAGTGTCCCACCCTACGTAGGTCCATACACACCTCTTCCTGTACGTAGATCGACCCCAACTGACGCTTGTCTAGTTACTAATGCTCCGTACAGGCAAGTTCCATACCATGTTATGAATGCATCTTCTTCAACGATTAGCACAGGGAGCTACGACAACAGAGAACATTTCATAGTCACCAGATATGGTGGAGACTCGCACAATGGGAGCGTTCCATCTTTTGCTGGATCATCTCAACGTTTTCCGTATATTAAGAGTTCACACACTTCACGTTCACTACCTGCTATCGGAACGAATCAGAGTCAAAATCATCTCACCTGTCGAACTTCGCCCTCTGACATGAGAGGTCACAATTCTTGGAATGGGTTGATCAGGGAAAGGAACTGCAATTCCGTAGAGAACCACCCTGTTGGACTTTCTGTGAAATCGTATTATTCCAGCTTGGGAGGATTAGCTAGGCTAGAAGATGACATGCGATCACAGTCCAATCTGGTCCAGTCGTCACAAGAAATGTATAAAGGACAACACAGTAAGCAAAACGGAAGCGTTGGAGATAACCTCCCACCAGCCTTGCCTGCGAGGCCTCATTTCAGAAATAGTAAAAACACGGTGAATGAAGTTATAGTCATTGATGACGATCCCGAACCTACACACATTAGTCAAGAAAGCAAAGTAAAGGTTGAGTCGACGGTTACACAGCTCCATGCTATACCCACTGAGCATTCTGATTTACCAATCAAACGCCATTGCAGCACCGAAGATAATGAAGCCAATATCAAAGGTCCCAAAATGCCACGTTTAGTAGCATTCTGTGGAAATAAGTCGTCTGAAAATGACGGTCAAGCGAATGTTATACTGTACCCCGACCCCCCAGCTCTTACAGCGGCTGTGGTAACCATAGCAACCACGAAGCAAACTGGAATGCTAAATAATACTAGTTGTTCTTCACCGAAAGTGACAGTTGCTCCTAAGGTGGAGAAAAAATGTGATACAAATTATAATTTGACCAGAGATCCGAAATATTTATATTTGTCCAAGAATTTGCAAAAGGGACAAGAAGAACTAAATGTTAACGTAAATAATGTATCCCAAGAACAGGCATGTCGTAATGTAATTTTGGCTGATTTTTCTAATTCATTGAATGACAGCGTTCAAGACACATCTCAGGAAATAAACATTTCTCAAGAATTTGATACAAATGAATCAACCTCATCGCTTATTGGAATCAATTCATCATCAAATGATGCACTACTTTCCAAAACCGAAAGTCTAACACCTAAATCAAACATGTTTAATCAAATCACGGACACAGAAGGTGAAAATAAAAATGTGTTGCATGAACATTCACTTCAAGTTTCATCTGTAGAAATGAACAACTTGTCTTCTTTTGTTACTACATCTCAGACAATTCTTGGGGTTGAGAGCTCCATTTCTCTGCTCTTACCTTCTGAAACCCACGATTTGTCTCGGCAAAATATGTGTACCGAGAAAAATGGTAAACCGTTGCTAGTTAGTGTATCCTCCCCTTTCACACAAAGAGACACCAGCAGTGGAACACTAGTGCCCGACTTAACACAAAATACATATAGATCAACTAGCATAACAAACCCACCTATGTTCAACAACGTGTCTGGACAGGTCACACACATCGACACCTCAAATGAAAGTTTACAAAACGAAATTTTATCTAATCAGAAAACAGATCCTGTATTTTGTACCGAACCAGACAATAATACATCATTATCACGCCCTATATCTCGCCAGATCTTGAATATCGATAAAAATAGCGCGTCTTTGTTAAAGCCTGTTCATTATCACCTTCCTTGCATTGAAGCAAACAGCAGATCTTTGATAAGCCCCGTCCATCCTCAGGCTCTTTATACTGAAGCAAACAATAACACTTTTTTAAAACCTTTACTTCATCAGGTCTCGTTTACCGAAAAAAATAACGAACCTTTGTTAAACTCTGTCCATCATCAGGTCCTTCGTGTTGAAGAAAGCAGTGGATCCTTGTTAAGCTCTGTCCAACAACACGTATCTCATTCTCAAGTAAACTGTGGTTCATTAGTGGGCCCTGTCCGTCATCAGGTCTCTCATATCAAAACAAATAGTGGGCCTTTGCTAAACCCTATTCATCACCAGGTGCTTCGAACTGAAGTAAACAATAGATCTTTGCCTAGCCTTGCTTATGATCAAGTTCCTTATCGTAAAGATAAAGTTAGCAATGCGCCTTTAAGCTCTTTACCTCACCAGAACTTGCGTACCAGTACAAACAGTGAGGCATTGTTACAACCATCATCTTTTCAAGTCCGAAGCACTGATGTAAATATTGTACCTGTGTCAAACTTAAAATCGCGTCATGTAACTCAAATACAAGCCAATAATGTATCTGTATTGAATACAGTTTCTCCAGTCCCAAATATGAAGGCTACCAACATGCCTATATTAAACAGAACATCTGATCGGAGCCCAGGCCCTACCGCCAATAACACAAATTATGGAAGCCCAAATGTTGATCTTAATAGAACAGTGTCATCTAGCAATACATCATATACATTCTCACATGCAGAGGTTAGCAAAAGATGTTCGATAAACAACATCTGTCATCAGGTACCATGCAGTGAAACTAGTGGTATTCACATGTTGAATAATACATCTCACCAGGGCCCAGCTTTGTTTAATACATCTTATCTTACCACATGCACTAATGCAAAAAGATTATCTTTGTTGAACAATACTTCAGATCCAGTTATTCTTACAGAGACGTCTAACAACACAACTGTTTTAAACAATAATTCTCATCTAGTATTAGGTTCTCAGGTCAACAGACCATCTGCTTCAAACAGTACCTTTTACGTAAATCCGGGTGCTGTGGAAAACAAACCACCACTGCTGCCACACAGTGCGTCTCGTCAGACTCCTGTTAATGAAATCAACAAAACACTTTTTTCAAACAGTACAAGTTCTGAGCTGCGTACTGAGACTGATGTAAAACTTCTGTCAGATAAAACTTTTTACCAAGTTTTTAGTGCCGAGACCAATAGGAAGAAGTTGGAAAACGGCTCATCTAGCCACCTACCAGAAAACCAGAAAATTTCATTACTAAAACCTGTAGTTCATCAGACAACCTTACATACACAAACCAATAGTGCCTCAGAAGTAAACAATATTTTTCCTAATCGAGTCTCATCCAGCGAGAATACTAGCAAAACTACTCCTTATCAGATTCTAAACGCTACTCTTAGTGGTATACCCGTTTGGAAATTCGCCGAAAACCTGAAACCTGTGAAAACCGAAGTACACGGTAAAATGATATATCGTAAAAGCCTTCCCGAATTTACAAATTACAATAAACTTCGAAGTTCACAGACAATGTGTACAGTTGGATCAGGAAACATACAACCGCGTATAGTTAAAGCACCTTCCTCGCCAGGGCTGAAGGAAGTTTTACTTCAAACTAGTAAAAACAGTTCAGTTTTGATTGACAGTCTAAATGCCACATCTAAAACGCCAATGTTGATGAAATCTACAGTTGGAGCTACTGTTGAAACCAAAAGTTGTTTGTTAAATAATTCGATCCAAACTTCCACTGGTTCATTCTTAAGCAGTTTGGAAATCCAGACTAACAAAATGTTTAGGACCACCGAAGGAAGCAGTTCATCAGTCGACACTAAAGTTAATGATCATCTAAATGTGGAAACCACCAGTTCCTTAGTATTGAATAATAATAGTATCAAACCCACCAATACAAAAAGTTTGTTAAAAAACACTGTCCTTCATAAGCTATTGTCGTGTCCGCCGTCAGAATCTCCTTTACCGAATACCAACAAAAACATGAACAGTACAGACTTGAAAAAAACTCTTAAACCCACAACCAAGACAAATGACAGAAAATGGGTTGGAGTCAAGTGGAAACCAGGAAACAGTGGTCAGGAAGAAAGTGATCAACCTACAAAAAAATACCTAAATGGGAATGGCTTGAAGGTAAATTGCAGTTTTTTTAAATTCTTGACCAAAACAAATTAAAATTACATAATATCAGGAAAGTCAGTTAACGATATTAAATAGACTAGCGAAAGTGGTAAACCGTAAATTTTGTAGTTATTTTATTTTGAGACTTTTATTAATCAAACTTTTCTATGTGTTACGGAATAATAGTGAGAAGTTTCCAATTGCTCATACAGATAACGTGAAACCGACATGTATAATATTAGTTGTGAATCGTTGAGTGAGTGGTTTGATTTGTTGATTTAATATTCTAGGATATAAACGGTACCTAACGTTTTTAATAGACAGGTACAGATAAATATACTAAGCTGGTTCAATTCTACTATTTCCAAAAACTAGAAAAAAAATTAAATCCTTGCAAATGAGAAAGAACTTTGTTAATATTTTGGGCATACATCCGTATAGGAATTCAAAACACGTTTATTTTCCTAATGTTAAAGCTTTTTTTTTCTTCTCCTCTTTATATATTCACAAGCTGCAACAGGTATCTCGTAGAACCCTATGCTTTTAAAATTTATACCTAGAATCCAGTACGAATAAAGTCAAATTGTTTTCTGCTAGTTAAAAATATAAATGTTTTTAATTGTTATTAGTGGGCCCTGGCATCATGGCACTCGACTCGAAATTTTGCAGTAGCGGGTTCGAATTTTATCATCGAATATGCTTGCCCTTTCAGCCGTGGGAGAATTATAAGGTGATGGTCAATCCCACTATTCGTTTGTAAAGATTAATTCAAGAGCTGGCGCCCCCAGTGGCACAGCGGAATGTCTGCGGACTTACAACGCTAGAATCTGGGTTTCGATACCCGTGGTGGGCAGAGCACAGATAGCCCATTGTGTAGCTTTGTGCTTAATTACAAACAAACAAACCAAGAGTTGGCGGTGGGTGGTGTTAGCTAGTTACCTTCTTTCTGGTCTATCACTTCTGAATTAGGAACGGCTAGCTTAGTCCGTGAGTAGCTTTGCGCAAAATTAACTAAATAAAAATTGCTGTTATGCTCCAACAGCAAAGAAGCTTAAGACAAGTACACTAGACACAGTTGTAGCTTTTGGCATTTTTTTTTTTTTGTTTTCGCTGTCGTGGCTGGTCCAGGAATTGAAAATATTATGGTATTGTACACAAGATAATATTTTTATTTTGTATATGCACATTGTGGTTTCAGTACTGCATGCGGGATCACAGCTCTTTTGAAGTAACCAGTAAGGTTGTGTCTATCAAAGTAACTGTTCGATCTTTTTTTTGCGCAATCTAATTTTTGATAAATTGTTTCTGTAAGAGAAGATGCATTGAGCCAGTAGAAGCAGGCCACACACACACACAACATGCTACACATCGGAAATCAATTTTCGTCTTGTCTACTACATGGGTACACAGCGCCCTCGCGGCCAGCAACTACATAATTTAAGGTCTTCGCCCTCTCAAATTCACCTAGATTAAAAATAAAACCTTATACAGTGAATGTCATTTTAAATTAGTTTTAGTTGTGTATTTTTCAATTTTTACAATCAGTTTAATAACTAGTAATAAACTTACGTGCCCAAGTATTTAATGACAAAACTAACATTTAAAATTATCCTAAACAAGTGTGCGAGATGTGAACATTAGTTTCAAATGTGTGTTTCGAACGACGAGTTCATATACGTGTCTGACATGAACGTTTGTGTGTCTGGTGTAAACGTTAAGCTCACGTGCTTGTGTCTAATGTGAACATTGGGTTCACGTAAGTGTGTCAGATGTGAACGTGATGTTCACATATGTGTCTGTGAACACTTGGTTTAAATGCATGTGTGTTTTATGCGAACGTAGGATTGACATTTGTGTGTATGACGCGAAGATACGGTTCACATATGCTTGCGTCTGATGTGAACGTCAGGTTCACGTGTATTTCTGATGTAAGTTTGGGTTTATATATGTGTCTGATGTGCACGTTGAAATAACGTGTATTCTTAATTTATTGCTTTTAAAGAACCAAAGCTACTCGTAATTCTTACCAGATGTCCTTGAAAACGTAACAACTAGGTAGAATTTGACACAAAGCCTGGGATCGGGTGTCAGTAATGGCCGGCGTCTTTCTGTTTAGAATGTTTCAATAAAATATCAGTGGGGTACCATTTATAATTTTTTTTTAACTGTGATGTACAGCTTAAAAAGTGTTTAGATTAAATCTTGAGGTAGAATATTATGTCGTTTTTATACTTGTTGCCTTATAATACCTTACAGGTGTGTTGACTTTAAAAAAATAATGGATTAAATAATTTACGGTATGGAATTATCGCAGAAATTAAGGCACGTCAAGTGATTTTATGAAGGTTTCTTTCCACAGATTACGTGGGTATAGGTACAAGTTGGTTGTTAGTAGATTCAGCATGATTGACATGCTTGTTACGTATATATCATGTTAGTAGTTTAGAAAATTATGGTTTGAATTATGTTTACGAAAGTATACTCGTTTGTGAAGTACACACAATGTCCGGTGACCTTTTAACCAAACGGAGGAGACAAGTTCAAAACCTCGTTGGCCGAAACTGGTGTATATTGTAGTTTGTTTGGCTCCTCTTTCTTTTCCCCAAAAGGGAAATCCCCTTTTGGATTCCACAAGACTGACCTTTAACTAGGATGTATTACACAACAATCATTTGTCATCTTATGTACTGCATGACTTATAGTACTGAACCAGATGAAATGATGCTGCACTCATCTAGTGATTAATTTAGGCAAAACACATTTGCGTATAGTTCATTGAAACATACGTTATTTTAAACTTTGAATATAAAAAGTTAAAGACAAATATTAAACATCGCCTACCAACTAAACCAAATATTTTGTAAGCGTTAGTATTTGCACAGCACTCCTAATCCACTTTAGATAGGATTAAAACGTAAACATGGCGATTATTGTGTTCATGCATATGGTAAAATCTGCGTGATTGACTTCTTCACACTCGTCCTCCTTTCAGAAAACAAACTACAAGCTAGGCCGGTTTTAAAAAAAATATATATTATGCGTCAGAAACAAAACTGTTCAACCACAATTAAAGTTACTTTTATACTTCTCAGGTAATATACGAAACGGTCAAAAATGAAAAATTTTAAGAACTGTTGTAGTTCTTAAATTATATATAATATTCCTGTAAAGTGTAAATCCGCACTTAAAAAGGATACAGAAACTTGTCCAACTAGGAACACTACATCATTGGGTAAAATGTTCATCCTTTTTAAAGGTACAAATCTTACTTAAGAGTTGATATGTAATATACAACCACTAATATATAACATACAACCATCTCTGGTATCTGTCCGAGTGTTCGTCTGTCTCCCGTTTACGACGGCCGCTACCCGCGCTGCGTTTGAAAAGCTGCGCACGCAGGCAAAACTAAACATTCACTTTTGAAATGACGGGAGAACCGCATGAATAATGTTGATGCCAAATTTTATTTCGCAAGCAGGATATTCTACACTAAATTGTTAGGAATTAATTACACTATCATGCCCCAAATTGAACCAAAAACGCGACCTTGCTAACTAATAAATAAATATTTGCTGTTAAATTCTAATCAATTTTATAAGTGTATTTACCAGTTTGGCCGCCAATTTTAGTTTCATTACTGTAAGTCGCACACTGAATCCTTTTTGGACGTACCTTTTTTCACACCTAAGGTGTTTTTGATTGTATATCATGACTTTTTGTCAATACACACAAACAAACCACACCAAATAAGAATGTGACACTCGACAGTAACCCACATTAGCTTGAGGATCGCAACTCTATTATTCGGAACAGACCATTACTTTACAGAACCAACCCAATTCTTTAAAATATACGATGGTAGTTTTCCTCTATAAAGCAGTGTTAATGCGTATAGTAATGCCATGGAATTTAGATTAACAGTTTCTTGTCATCACCCGCATGCAATCGGTACAGCCGTATCAAGCATTATTATTTATGCTAATTGCTTAAGTTAATATCACGTGACGCTAAACGCTCTTTGATTAGGATAATTTCATAAAATTTAGTAAATTTGTGCTGAAAAGTTTGCAGTCAATAATTAATAATGAGCGTCCACCCGTATGATTCTTTTGAAAACTTGAGCTAGAAACTACTAATGTATCTGCACGTCCTCTCACCTTATTGTTTTGCTGCTCTAAATCAGCCGTCTTTAATCAGAATGTCAAAAAACTAAAAAAAAAGATCCACTTTTACTCTTAGTTGAAGCTGTAGTAAAAATGTTAACCAATAGCTCACGTGACTTTTTGCGTAGGCTTGTGCAAAAATTTTCGTTAAATTTGAGCGGTTTTAGTTGAATAACTGCACATGTGGCTTATATTGACACCGAATGAGACTCCTAATTGTAGGTTGTAAAGATCTAGCAGTGTACCAGATTTGAAAAAGAAAAAAAATCCATAAAAGTTCAGTGTGTTTTCTATAAAATAAAGTTTCCGTACTTTTGATGCGAAGAAAAAAATAGGAAAAACTCTATCAAAATTGGAGATTTTATATCTCGGGTATTTCTTGGTAGATTACTTTAAAATTTGGTATGTGAAGTAAGAGTTACCACATTTCGAACTACAGAAGGCAGAAAATCGCTAAACTATCACTCCTGTTTATAACACATAGTGTGTCCTGCAGGTTGTTTTTTGTTCGCAAGACACACACTATTGTGTATGTGTGTGTGTGTGTGTCTTGATTCCTCCATTTTTAGAGCAGTTGTAGTGAATTGTTCGTTGAGCTTTCCAGTTCTCTGGCGCAGGCAGGCGCTTGTATTGTTTTTCTGGGTAAAATTCTTACTGCGCATGCTTATAAGGTGTACTGGCAGCAGAATTATAGTATGAGAAGATTTTGGTGTGTGCGATTAGAATTTTTTTTGTATTATTCTAGAAATCTTGTATTTAAATAAGTACTATTGCAATAAAGACACAAATCTGCGCACAAATGTCTTGCGGGTCCCTGCTAGTCTATTATAATAATAATTCATGTTT